TGGTATCTCAGAGTTGTTTTGAGTTGCATTTCTCTGATGGCCAAGGATTTTGAGCACTTTCTTAAGTGTCTTTCAGCCATTTCAGATTCCTCTGTTGAAAAATCTCTGTTTAGTTCTGCACCCCACTTTTTAATTTCATTGTATGGTGTTTTGGTGGCTAGCTTCTTGAGCTCCTTGTATATTTTGGAAATCAGTCCTCTGTCAGATGTGGGGCTGGTGAAGATTTTTTCCCATTCTGTGGGTGGTCGTTTTGTCTTACTGACTGTGTCCTTTGCCTTACAGAAGCTTCTCAGTTTCAAGAGGTCCCATTTATTAATTGCAGACCTCAGTGTCTGTGCTTCTGGCGTGATGTTCAGGAATCGTTCTCCTGTGCCAATTTGTTCAAGGGTTGTTCCCACTTTCTCTTCTAAAAGATTCAGTGTGGCTGGGTTTATGGAGAGATCTTTGATCCATTTGCACTTAAGTTTCGTGCATGGTGACAAGTATGGATCTATCTGCAATTTTCTGCATGTTCGAATCCAATTGTGCCAGCACCATTTGTTGAAGATGCTATCTTTTTTCCATTGTATGGATTTAGCACCTTTGTCAAAAATAAGGTGTTCGTAGGTGCGTGGGTTAATATCTGGGTCTTCAATTCGATTCCATTGGTCTATCTGTCTATTCTTGTGCCAATACCAAGCTGTTTTCAGAACTATGGCTCTATAGTAGACCTTGAAGTCAGGGATGGTGATGCCTCCAGAGGATCTTTTATTGTAAAGAGTTGTTTTGGCTATCCTAGGTTTTTTATTTTTCCATATAAAGTTGAGTATTGTTCTTTCAATGTCTGTGAAAAACTGTGTTGGGATTTTGATGGGGATTGCATTAAATCTGTAGATTGCTTTTGGTAGAATTGCCATTTTTACTATGTTAATTCTGCCTATCCAAGAGCACGGGAGATCTTTCCACTTTCTGGTATCTTCTTTAATTTCTTTCTTTAAAGTCTCAAAGTTCTTATTGTACAGGTCTTTCACTTTTTTGGTTAGTGTTACCCCCAGATATTTAATGTTGCTTGTGGATATTGTGAAAGGTGATGTTTCCATGATTTCTTTCTCATTGAGTTTATCATCTGTATACAGTAGGGCTACAGATTTATTTAAGTTAATTTTGTATCCTGCTACCTTGCTGAAGGTGTTTATCAGCTGTAGGAGTTTCCTGGTAGAGTTTTTCGGGTCACTTATGTAGACTATCATGTCATCTGCAAATAGTGAAAGTTTGACTTCGTCCTTTCCAATTTGTATCCCTTTGATATCCTGATCTTGTCTTATTGCTCTAGCTAGAACTTCAAGAACAATATTGAAGAGATATGGAGAGAGTGGACATCCTTGTCTTGTTCCTGATTTTAGAGGAAATGCTTTGAGTTTCTCTCCATTTAGTTTGATGTTGGCTATTGGTTTGGTGTATATCGCATTTATCATGTTTAGATATGTTCCTGTTATTCCTGTTCTCTCCAAGATCTTTATCATGAAGGGATGTTGGATTTTGTCAAAGGCCTTTTCAGCATCTAGTGAGATGATCATGTGGTTTTTCTTTTTCAGTTTGTTTATATGGTGGATTACATTGATGGTTTTTCGTATATTGAACCATCCTTGCATCCCTGGGATGAAGCCCACTTGATCGTGGTGGATGATTTTTCTGATATGTTCTTGGATTCGATTAGCCAATATTTTATTGAGTATTTTAGCATCAATGTTCATGAGAGATATTGGTCTGTAGTTCTCTTTCTTATTCTTATCTTTGTGTGGCTTGGGTATCAAAGTGATTGTAGCCTCATAGAAGGAGTTTGGCAATATCCCATCTGCTTCTATTGTGCGGAACAGTTTGAGGAGTATTGGTATCAGCTCTTGTTTGAATTTCTGGTAGAATTCTGCAGTGAAGCCATCTGGTCCTGGGCTTTTTTTGGTTGGGAGGCTTTTGATGACTGCTTCTATTTCATTAGGGGTTATGGGTCGATTTAAATTGTTTATCTGATCTTGATTTAATTTTGGTAAGTGATATTTATCCAGGAAACTGTCCATTTCCATTAGATTTTCGAATTTTGTGGAGTACAGATTTTCAAAGTATGACCTAAAGATTCTCTGGATTTCCACAGTGTCCGTTGTTATATCCCCCTTTTCGTTTCTGATTTTGTTAATTAGTGTGCTCTCTCTCTGCCTTTTGGTTAGTTTGGCTAGAGGTTTGTCTATCTTGTTGATCTTCTCAAAGAACCAACTCTTTGTTTCATTGATTCTTTGTAATGTTTTCCTAGTTTCTACTTTATTGATTTCAGCTCTCAGGTTGATTATTTCCTGGCGTCTACTCCTCCTTGGTGAGTTTGCTTCTTTTTGCTCTAGTGTTTTCAGTTGTTCTGTCAGTTCTCTAATGTGACTTTTTTCTAGTTTCTTCATGTGGGCACTTAGTGCTATGAACTTCCCTCTTAGGACTGCTTTCAGAGTGTCCCATAAGTTTGGGTATGTTGTGTCTGCATTTTCATTAGAATCTAGGAAGTCTTTAATTTGTTTTTTTATTTCTTCCTCAACCCAGGAATGGTGCAATTGGGTGTTATTCATTTTCCAAAAGTTTGCAGGTTTCCTGCCATTTGTATTGTTGCTGAATTCTAGCTTTAATGCATGGTGGTCTGATAAGATACAGGGGGTTATTTCAATTCTTTTGTAATTGTGGAGGTTTGCTTTGTTGCCTACTATGTGGTCAATTTTGGAGAAGGTGCCATGTGGTGCTGAGAAGAAGGTATATTCTTTTGAGTTTGGATGGAATGCTCTATAGATATCCGTTAACCCCAGTTGGGCCATGACTTCTTTCAGATCCTCTGTTTCTTTGTTAAGTTTTTGTCTGGTGGTCCTGTCTAGTGGTGTAAGGGGGGTGTTGAAGTCTCCTACTATAAGTGTGTGTGGTTTTATGTGTGGTTTGAGCTTTAGTAATGTTTCTTTCACAAATGTGGGTGCCTTCGTATTTGGAGCATAGATGTTCAGGATTGAGATTTCATCTTGATGGACTTTTCCTGTGATGAGTATGAAATGCCCTTCTTCATCTCTTTTGATTGATTTTAGTTTAAAGTCCATTTTGTTAGATATTAGGATTGCTACACCTGCTTGTTTCTTGAGGCCATTTGATTGGAAAATCTTTTCCCATCCTTTTACTCTGAGGTATCGCCTGTCTTTGAAGTTGAGGTGTGTTTCTTGTAAACAGCAGAAAGATGGATTCTGTCTTCGTATCCATTCTGTTAGCCTATATCTTTTTACGGGTAAGTTAAGGCCATTGACATTTAGGGATATTAATGTCCATTGTTCGTTGGTTCTTGTTTGGTTTGGATTTATTGTTGGTGGTGTCATTGTGTGTGGATTTTGCTCTCCTGCTTCTTTTTGTGTTTGGCATTATTAGATTATCTATTGCCTGTGTTTTTGTGCATGTAGTTATGTTCCTTGAGTTGGAGTTTTCCTTCCAGAACCTTCTGTAGTGCTGGATTTGTGGATATGTATTGTTTAAATCTGTTTTTGTCATGGAAAATCTTGTTTTCTCCATCTATAGTGATTGAAAGTTTTGCTGGGTACAGTAGTCTGGATTGACATCCATGCTCCCTTAGTGCTTGTAGTGTATCTATCCAAGACCTTCTGGCTTTCATAGTTTCCATTGAGAAGTCGGGTGTGATTCTGATTGGTTTGCCTTTATATGTTACTTGGCCTTTTTCCTTTGCAGCTCTTAATATTTTTTCTTTATTCTGTAGATTTGGAGTTTTGATTATTATGTGTCGGGGGGACTTCTTTTTGTGGTCCAGTCTGTTTGGTGTCCTATAAGCTTCTTGTACTTTCATAGGCATATCTTTCTGTAGGTTGGGGAAGTTTTCTTCTATGATTTTGTTGAATGTGTTTTCTGTACCTTTGAGCAGTGTTTCTTCACCTTCTTCTACACCTATTATTCTTAGGTTTGGTCTTTTCACGGTGTCCCATATTTCCTGGATATTTTGTGTTAGGGATTTGTTGGTCTTGAGGTTTTCTTTGGTTGATGAATGTATATCCTCTAGCGAGTCTTCAATAGCTGAGATTCTCTCTTCTGTCTCTTGAATTCTATTAGTTATACTCACGTCTTTAGATCCTGATCATTTATCCAACCTTTCCATTTCCAGCATCGCTTCATTCTGTGTTTTCTTTAATGTGTCTAATTCAGCTTTCATGTTTTGAACTGTTTCAAGAGCTTCCCATGTACATCTTTATATACCATTAGGTTTGATAAGTATAGAGATGATTTAAAGTAAGGGGGAAATATACAAAATATTATGCCATTTTGTATAAGGTACTTGAGCATACCGTAATTAACTGTGTTCTGGAAAAGGGTTTTGATAGATTCAGAAGAGAAAACAGTTTTACCAACCAAGATTGATATTTACTTGAAAAGAAACTGTAGTAACTTTTATGTAGAAGTAAGCAGGCATTCCTAAGTTTATTCCTAAGCATTATAATCTATATGGGTCCTGTGGCTGGGGTATGGTTCCTCAGTAAAGTGCTTGCTGTGTATGCATGAGGACCTGTGGTTGAGCCACAGGTGTCTTGTGGAAAAGCTAGGCACACTAGCACATATCTGAGTAGTCATGGCCCAGGGGAGTTGGAGACAGAAGAATCCTGGGGGCTTGGTAACCAGCTAGATTAGCAGAATCAGTAAATACCAGGTTCATTGAGAGATGGAGTGGTGGAGGAAGACACCTGACATCAACCTCTGACCTCCACACACATGTACACACATGTGTGTGCCCCCCCACACACACACACAAAACAAGGGGGGAGCATGAATAAAATTTTAAAACCAAGTCTTACCTGTCTGTAATTCATAGGTTTTGCTTCTTGGTTTGCTTTTCTTTGCTCCTTTAGTTTTGTGATTAGCCTTGGATGGAGTTTTCTCTGTTTGTTTAATGCTAAGTAGCTTCTAAGCTACTAAGAATATTCTGTGCCTTCCCCTTTTTTGTGCCTTAACAGATCCGAGCAGTTGGCAGGCTAAAAAGAGAGCGTTCCATGAGTGAAAATGCTGTTCGCCAGAATGGACAGTTGGTCAGGAATGATTCCGTGTGAGTAGAATCGCAACACTGTATCTTTTTTTTTTTTTTTTTTTTTTTTTTTTTTTTTTTTTTTTGGTAGAAATCATTGTAGATTTTCTTCTGTATTTTGTCTACATACCTTTTTCTAAATATCAATAGTTTTTAAAATCTGTTTTACATCAGTGGATATCACCTTGTAGTTGTATTCTTTGTAGTCATACAATCTGACAACTTTGTCTGTTGTGACAATTTTTCAGTCCTGTTCTCTTCTGTGTGTCTGTCACTTTTATGGAAAGTGAATATTCTTTCTCCTTCACTTTTGGTCAGTCTTCATGAACTCATCAGGACCCCTTTGTGATGTCAAGCATCATGTTAGCTTCTCTGGGAACTCAGCAAACATCAGACGATGACACATCTCTTTGAGAGCTTACAAAGTAACTAGAGCACAGTACAATTATCATTCTCACAGTGTACCATAGTAAGTTGTAGTTTAACCCTCACTGCAGAGTGCAGTGGTGCAGAATGGGCTCTTATCGGGGCTCTTATGGGGTTAATACTCAGACCAGAGTTGAGAAGACTATTTTTGTCTTTGCTTTGAAAGAAGTCTTAGGAACAAATTCACTGGCATCTCTAAGCAGTCAGTGAAGTTGTATCTCAAATGTAAGTTTTTGCTTCCTTTGTTGAAATTCTGTTCTCTCATGTTGGGTGCAAGGGAAAACTGAGTTCTTCAGTTGCTTGGAGAGTCTCGTGGTAGTTGCAGTTATCCTGAGGGATCTATAGGAAGAAGTTGGATTAAAATGAATATATGTCTCCTTTATGAAAGACTGTCTGAAAGGCTCAACCATTATTAATGTGATTTTAAAAAAATGATTCAATGTATGTTTTCCTAAGGTATCTGATTGGCAGTTATCAACAGACCCAGGAAACTCATTTTTCTAAAATTATTTCCAAATATACACATTGTAAAAAGACTCCACGATGTAATCTTATGGATGGCTAACGTGGGTAAAACAACTCTAATTCAATTATTTTCTACTTGTAATGTGTAGTTTGTAGGGCAACAGAATCTTCTAATTGGCTTTCCTGCTATTTATGTTGTGACTTGCAGTTTAGGCTCTTAATTGACCTTTTATATCATTAAAATTAAAATGTGATTACTTCAGTATTGTATCACCTTTTCACAAAGTATAATATTGATGCCTGAGTTTAGATGAAGATAAAGGAAAAAGCTCTGTATACGTTACTCATAGCACAAAGGTTAATAGCTAACTAATAACTTGATTTTCTTTAAATTGCCTTTATGACATTTTCTATATATCTAATAAGAACAAAGATCTTGATATTAATAAAAGTTTGCCCACTCTCTCATACCTTTGTTAATTTTACAATTTATAATTGAATGCCTATTTAAAGTTTTCCCATATCTGATTAACCTTAGGGTTTTGTATGATGTGCATAAAATGGGCATTGTTCAGTGGGCAAAAAACAATCCATACAGCTGTAGTTTACATCTGCTACAGTGATTGTTGAACTTTCCCTATGTCAGTCTGTTTTTTTTTTTAGAATGATTATGGACCATTATGCATGAACCTTTGTCTGTCTCCACTCAAGCTTATTCTACAGCTCATAAAAGGAAGTGCAAATGGGCAGGGACTTTGTTTCCTTAATTACTTTTAAGAAGCAGTGAGGTTGATTGTTGTCACAAAAATGAATTGTGACATAGAACCATAGTAGAATCATTCTCTTTGTTATAAAAGCTGAATATGTAAAAGAAGCATAATTATTATTTAAGGTGGCACAGATCAGATTCTGCCCCAAGAAATAAAATTTCAAGGTTCCAGGCATCGATTTCTGCACCGGAGTACACGTAAGATTTTATCTGCTCTATTTTTCCCAAGTAGGGATTGCTTTAATTTTGCAGGCTTATATTAATACTAATCTGTCTTACCATGTAACTGATAATACCTAATTCTCTGTTCTAGTACTTCTCCCTCAGGATTTCTCAAACTGTCACTATCTAGTTTATTAAGTGGAGCTGAGGGGGCAACTCTTAAGGAAGTTTTTATATGGTTTGAGATATAGGTGAAAGGAAAATGAAATAATTTCTGTACATGAAGAGCAAATCCTTTTCTGTTTTCTTTATTTTGCTTTGGTTGGCCTACGAGTTCTCTGCAGATAACACTTAGCAAGGTTCAGAATCCCACTCATGTTTTTATACTTCAACATCTTTTCTCGTTTTATTTTAATCTAGAGAAAAATGAAGTCTTAATGCTGGTTTGTCACTGAAATTGGGTTTTTGGGGGTTGGGTTTTTTTTTTTTTGGTTTTTTTTTTATTTCCCTGTAGAAAATTATGTTTGGAGCAATCCTTTGAGATCACTAAACTCTTGTTTTCTATAAGTATGACAAACTGTATAAGAATAACTGCCCACTCCTGACAGTGAAACATTTTGGTGTGAAGTGTAAAAATTGTAGCAGCATGTGCCAGGCTCTAGAATTCTAGAATCAGTACTCAGTCAGCACACATCCATACATGTGCAAATAATCAGTCACTGCTGTTCCCAAACAGCTGAGGAAACCACACTGAAGGCCTTTGACTCATCTCTTTCTCTGGTTTCTCGCAGTGCTTCCAAGAGTTACTAAGTGGTCTCAGTCATAGTAGCAGCAAATTATGGTTCTCTCTATTTAGGGTCCCGGAGAGACCAGGTATGGTGCCATACACATTTAATTCCAGCAGAAGAAGGTAGAGCTCTGTGAGTTCAAGGCCAGCCTGAAAAACATAAGCTAGTTACTTTTAGGACATATATGATGAGACATTGCTTAGAAAAAAATAAAAATAAAGGTCTCAGAAATTAGCAGTTTGTGTCTCAATGAAAATGTTTTTCTTTTTATATTTTCAAAGAGGCTAGTTTTTCAACATGAACCTCACAGTTTGAGAAACATCTTTCCTATGAAAACCTGTGGAGAGAGCTCTCCTACTTTGAACTTTCCTTTTAGTGAATTGTGCCAAGTCACTGATTCTCATTTCGTTCTGACATTTACTGGCCATTGTTTACTTAACCCTTATGTGTAAGAGTCTGTGAGCATGAGATAGAGTTGTTACTAATGAAGTAGCATGATAAGCATGAGTGCTTCTTCAGAAGTTTATAACTTGTATTTAAAATACTAAACGAGATTTTGCTATTTTATAACATTAGTAAAAGCAGTTTATTATCAAAGTGTATTTTATTATTTATAAGGCAGTATTTCTTTAAACACCTGACCTTAGTAACTTGCAATATGTTTATATTTTTTACAGTAGCTGACTTGTCAAAAATTAAACAATAAAAACAAAAATGTAACTAAACCTCGGTTAGGTTGTGAGTGGACAGAGGTGAAACCTAACTCCAAAATCACTCTGTCCCTCCTCAGTTGATTCCAGTAGAGGATGTTATAGCTTCTGTTAGAGTGGTAAAGTTATTTTTCTCTGTTGTTGTTGATTGCAATGAAATGTGTTGGTTAAAATGCATATAAGAGTACCTTAAAAAGTTGCTAAATTATTTTCCCAATTCCTAATAAAAACTACTAAATTATTGTTTCTAATTAAGATAATTTTCTCACCTTACAATATAATTAATCAGCTTAAAAGTAGCCCTTCCTATTCTGTTTTTTTGCTGTGTCTAGAAGACTGTCTTGTAAATGAATGAAAAGTTATATTTGTTACCAAGCTTGGAAACTAATTCTTTGAGAAACAGCCAGGAAAAAAAATGTTTTTTTGTTGTTGTTGTTGTTGTTGTTAATCAAATATCTTTAATAGTGTTGATAACTACTTCATGTCATGATCTGAGAAATGTAGCTTGGTAGAGGGCAGACTTGATTGGCATGTATAGGTCCTTGGGTTTTATCCCTGGCACTGGGGAAAAAAATTTTAGGGTGTTGTTTTGTTTTGCAGGACTTAATTTCATCACTTATTGCTCTACATAAATACATCTATTAAATTAGTAAAGATAATGAGTTTTTTTCTTGTTTATGATCATATTACATTTCATATGATCATAGAATCTTAGAATTAGAATACTTAGATTTTTTTACTTTGAATTTATTTTATTTATTGATTTTCCTGATATGCATTAAAATTAATCATTAGTAATATAGTAAGGACCTGTAGATTATTTTAGAATCCAACCTTCTGTTCATTCCATCCTGAGAATTGTTTGCCATTAATCTGAAGTTAGCTTGTGCTTGCCTAGTTTATAAGATGACACCTCCTTCCCTGTGTATGTGCATTCAGATTTCTTTTTCTCCTTTCATTTATTGCTTTTTCTTTCCCCCCTCTTCTTCCCTTCCTTCCACCTGCTCATCTCAGCTATGCTAAGTAAGTACTTTCCCAGTGAATTATGTTCTCAGCCTTTTTTTTAAATTTCAATAATAAATAACTTTATTTTCTTATATTTTAATGGAGAAAAATCCATTCAATTTAGTATAAATTTGGAATCCATCACTTGACATTGTTTCTTTAAGATTATAATTCAAAATACTAAAAATGAATAATACCCTCATTCTACAGCTAGTTTACTTGTTAATGGGCTATACAGAAATGTTCATTAAAGCAGTGCTAATTTGAAACTTGCATAACAAAATTTAATCAGTTTTGCTGCCAGCTTTTTCAAAAATTGTGTTTTTCCCAAACCTGTAAACCAGTGGGTGGTGTACATTGGGACTTCCTTCTTTCCATCTCTCTCAGTTTCTCTGTCCCTGTGTTTCAGCCCCAAGGGAGAAGGCTGACTCCACTAGGAGTTTGTCTGCTGTGAGTCTCAGCCTCACCGCCCCCCCATCCCACTCCCCAGTATCTCCTGGGTACAGTAAATAGTGACACAGAACTTCAGTTTACAATCCTGTTCCTGGTGACAACTGTAAACATGAGCTCAGCCTGGCTTCTTGCATACAGGTGCTTCAGGTCTTCACTGTTCTGTCCAAAGGATGTTTATGTGCAAGCCCCACACATAGGCTGCACCCCACCGCTCTAAGAGTTTTGTTTTGTCTTGGTCCCCAGACTGATAGCTGAGAAACCAGCATGGGACTGATCCAGACCCCATGAATGTGGGTGTCAGTGAGGAGACCTCTGAAATCTATGGGGCCTCTTGTAGTGGATCAATACTTATCGCTACCATAGGAATGGACTTCAGGAGCCTATCCCACATAGAGGAATACTCCCTGAGTCTAGACACATGGGGGTGGGCCTAGGCCCTATCCCAAAGAATATGACAGGGGGGGAAAGAGTTTTGTTTGGTTTGCTTAGTTTTCTTTCTCTCTCTCTCTCTCTCTCTCTCTCTCTCTCTCTCTCTCTCTCTCTCTCTCTCTGCCTTTTGGTTGCTGCTGCTGCTGTTGTAGTTTTGCCCCAGCTATGCTAGGATGTTTATTATGGGATTTGTCAAGTCCTATAGATCAGAATATACAGTGACTGTTTTATGATGTATATATGTATGTATGTGTATATATATTTAAGATAATACATTGATATATTTTTCCCCAGAAGACTGCCAGTCTCTACTGACATCTAAAAACTTCAGTTTGTCTTGACATCATTAGGCCAAGTTCTAGAATTTTTGTACATGCCAAGGTTTGGCTTATATTTTTCTCTTCTAGTCTTTGGAAAGTACGGTTTTCATATTTATTACACCTTTCTCTTTAGATCATATTGATATTGCAAGTTATAAAGTTAGAGGTTGTGTTTAATTTTTGAAACTCTCAGGATATTAGGTAACTTTCCAGAATTGTCCTACATTTTTAAAATTTTAGTTTCCAGAATAGGGGAAAAGATTACACAGAAGATTTTTTTCCTGTTTGCAGCCGTTCATCAAGGTTCTGCTTTTTTCTTTCCAATGTCATACACAAAGATTAAAATTAGCCTAGCTTTGGTGGTTCATGACTTTAATTCTCACTGAGACAGAGGCAGACAGATCTCTGAGTTTGTGGCCAGCCTGGATTACATAGTTTCAGGCCAACCAGGGTTACATAATGAGACCCTGTCTCAAAAACAACAAACAAAAATTAAAAACAAGATTACCCTAATGTGCTTTGTTCTTTGAAACTATTGAACCCTCGACTTAGAGTTATGGTCTTCTTTCTGTAAAAGGAAAAATCTCAAGGCCATGAGTCAGTTAAATGCTCCGATCTTAAACAGCTCTCTGAAGATACCAACACAATTAAAATGCAACTAGAGCTCTCTGGGGTTTTAGCTCATCATTTAATTTATTTCCCATCATAAACTCAGCTTGTTTCATTGTCTTTGTGAAGTATTTGAAATGGTGTCTTTATGGAATCATGCTGGATTCATGTGTTTAGATGTTGATATTTACATACAGAATTCTGTGTCCCACTCTTTATCATCTGTAAGTCATGTGCAGTGCTGATTCTTAGGTGTTTGTTTTATTGAATTGACACAGATGAATGATACTGAATAAACAGTGCCTCCTTTGTCTGATACCAAGCCCTGATGTGAGCACACATTGCTGGATTCTTGCCTCCTGTTCTTCTGCTTAGTTTGATCACTGGTGTTACCTCCTGGCTGCTTTGTAAAAACAATTCCAAGTGTTTTTAACTTCTTCTGTTTGTTCTCTTGGTAGATTGAGGGTGGGAAGCATGGGCAAGAAAACAGATTAAAAACTGCTCTGTCTGCTGAAGTTTTATGAAAATCTGACTTGAGTGTTTTTCTCTTCATTTGCTGTGCTTATGTGAACAGTGTGACACCATCGCCACCACAGGCTCCTCGGGTCTGTCCTCCCCATATGCTACCTGAAGATGGAGCTAGTCTTTCCTCTGCCCGTGGCATTTTGTCGCTTATCCAGTCTTCCACCCGTAGGGCTTACCAGCAGATCTTGGATGTGCTGGATGAAAATCGCAGGTGACTGGCCGTCAGTGGCTTTGCCGCTTTGTTGCATATGTTTGGGCTCCTTATTTAGTGGACTGTGGTGCTGTCTTTTTTGTTTGCTCCTTTTAGTCTGTAAGATGCAATGGTTTGAAATGGCTTGCTTGTTTTCTTTTCATTTGAAATGATTGTCCAAAATTCACATTTCACAAGATTATATTAGCTTTCCCTTAGCTGTGGAAGGCATTTAGTTCTGCACATAAGAAGTATAACAACTTTTTTCAAGGGCTTTGCTGGCCTATTCTAAGTGTTTGAGTCCACTTGGAAATATGGTAAAGGGACTATTATTGGACTGAGTGTGACATCTAGGACTTTTGCATACTATGTCTTCAGTCTTTTGATTTAATTACCTATACTAGTGGTAGGAGTGAAGTAATGAAGCAGGTAGGAGATGTTGCTGTGCTCCCAATACACTTTCCTAAGAGCTGTGGATACTAGAAATTCTGTGTGCTATTACCGTTTTTTAGATAATGCTGGTATTTTTAAATATATTTATAGGTAATACTTCACTTTTGAACATCTCCAAGTAGTATCATTAGAATTCTACTTCAGCTTGTTTAAACAAGTAATTTTTTTTCACTCATTTAATATACCTTTGTTCTTTGCTTCGTTAGCTTACAGTATTTTAAAAAGATGGAATCCCAGAGCTTTGTTGACATCATATGGGACAGTCAGATAAGCTTCACTCCAGCTCTGAGCATTGGTCTAGTGGCTTTGAAAGTTGGCGTTTGCATTTTTGTCTTCATTTTATTAGACTGTCAGTGTTTGCAGTTTTGAAGGAATCCCAATAAATTAAGCCTTAATTTCTTAACCTGATGTGTCTGGCTTGCTCAGAACAAATTTGTTCTTGCTGCGCCTTTAGTCCTCCCAGAACCAGCTCTTCACCTGCGCCAAGAGTGTCTGGACACTCTTGTTGTTGATCCAGGGCCTTCTCTGTCTCCCCAGGTTAACATAGCGATGTATGTATATTGGGCCATAGAACTTCACACTATAGTGAAAAAAGCTTTAAGGCCTGTGGCATCAAAGACAAATTATATAAATACTGTACATGTATATAGAAATATACTTTTAGTTGTTGGTTTGTTGCTTTTCCTTCAAGGGTTTAGAGTCCCTTTTCTGCTCTCTGAAGCTTCGTGGACTCTTGACTGTTTGGAAGCGAAGCAGCAACAGGGTTGGTTCAGAAGGAGCGGTGTAGTTAGAGGGAATCTCTCATTCATTCTTGATTCCTCCACTCAACAGCTAGCTGCATGCTGGCCTTAAGCAGATAACTTTGGTCTCTTCTCTGGACCTCCTTTTCCTCATCTATTGAGACGGTGAAGAGGGATTATACTTGGCTGCCTAGATTCTTGAGACAAGTCTTCTGCCCTTCACCATTACTTAAAATGTGGGGCTAATGGCTTCAGAGTGCCTTCTTGGTACAGGTGGAGATCCTTGGAGATAATGAACAGAAAGCATTGAACTTAGGAGCGCAAATTAGTAAAGGCTGTTTCCACCTTCGTCTTTCACAGCATTTTTCTCCACCAGACAGTTATCTTCTTTAGCCTTCTTGTTATAGTAACTCCTTAGGAGAGATTGCATTCATGGGTCAGAATTTATCATGTCTGGTGCTATTGTAGTGAAGACATCTGGATGAAAAGCCATATGTAGGTGATATCACCTACTAGATGACAGAGCTACAGTCCACTGTTAATATCCCACCTTTTGCCAGCATATTCACAGCTCAGATGCAGTGATGTGGCACTTGGAGAAGTGTGAATTTTTTTCTCTATGGTGAGAAAAAAAAAATTGCTTAAAGTTCAAACATACAAAATCTGAATCTTACCCATGTAAAGTTTGTATGCTTTTACTATGAAAAACTACTTGGAACATTAAGTGAATTCATAGTTTATTTTTTACATTATAATAACTTAATGACTTCAAAATTATCATGTTAATCCAAATAAACTTTCTCAAATTGAAGAAATATCTAGCTGTGGTGGCTTATACCTTAATTCCAACACTTGGGAGTCTGAGGCAGGAGGATTGCCCAGAGCTCAAAGCTAACCCTAGGGTACAGAATAGAACTTTGAGTCAAAAATCAAAAAAGAACTGGGCATAGTGGCTATGCCTTTAATCCCAGCAGCACTCAGGATACACGGATGCCAGATGCCCATGAGTTCCAGGCCAGCCAGAGCTACATAGTTTCCAGATAAATTCCATTACTTTGTGACCTTGGATCCCAGAGAGTGAGGTTCTACTCAGCCTCACCAGTACTTTCATTACCGACAAGGGTTTGGATTTTTTGGCTTTGTTTTAATTGTACAAAGTTTAATCAGAATCTTAAATGCCAAATCAGTTTTTCTTTCTGCTAAAGAAGAGGTTGGCCTGATTTTTCAAAAACATGGGAATGTGAAATTTGGATAATGTTCTACTTGCATGATTATAAAATAATACTGCTTATCCAGTTTCAGCGCTTTTGTGTTCCTTGCTGTTCATCATTTTTTTCTTTTCTGTGTTATTGCTCTTGGCCATTGTGTTAATGCAATATCTTTGCCCTTAGGACTGCACATTAAATACAGCGAATGTAAACCAGAACTGTTTGTCAGAAAAAGCAAGAGCTTCCTGTTTGTTTTTTATTGTAAAATGATTCAGATTCCTACTTTCTCAGCATAAGAACTATTTTTAGTTTGTACATTAAGTGGCACTGTATGCTGTACTGTGTGTGTTTTCTACTTCTGGTGAACTTGGTCCAGGTAATCTAAACAGTTAAGCACAAAACCAAGTGAATTCCTAGGTACTGTTATAAAAGTTCATTCACACAAGTTAGTGCTGAGCATTGGAAAACTGATCAAAACATCAGGAACAAGTACCAGATGTTCTTTGCCCAGTTGACAGCAGTAAAGCACTGTTAAGATTTGTCTTTTTCTGGGCAGAAATTTCCCATCTCTTCTATATTTGCTAGAGCTGTATATCTCATTCTCAGTGTCAAATATAACATCTTCTAGAGAAACTTAGTGTTACATGTAAAACGTTAAGTGTTAATATATGAGTTGTGCATAAACTTTTGTGGTGTGGCTTTGGTTAATTTTAGCTTTTCTTTAGCAGGTTGTACTAGTTTTTGAATGAGTAGAATAAGAAACCAATATATGAATGGTTTCTATTTTTGGCAAGTATTCATAAAATATGTAACATGGAAGACCGAAGTTCATAGGGTACCTACTTTTTCTTAAAAATGCTTAATTCTTGGTCCTCCAGTCAACTTGCTTAGTTAGTATAATAGTTGATATTTTTATAGAAAAGAAATGCATTATCTTAATTTAGACCATGTATTTACTCAAAAATGTCAGTATACAAATTGATACTAAAATTTGGTAGTCTTAAATTTCCTTCCCTTTTGCCATTCTAATTACAAAATACACTATTCAACTATTTCTTTTAACATTAAATCATTCTTATGGTAGAAACTGGTGCTTGAATGAAATTTCTAATTTTGCCAAATACCTGTCTAATTTACTTTATGTATCAATTGCCAGTGTGAGAAGACAAAATGAGATACGTTGTGAAAGGTAACTGTATTGTTTCTCGCTCTGCATTTGTAAAAGGGAAACTCTGTGGTGGAATATGTTCAATATGGCAGATCATTTTGGCCATATTAACACACTCTTTAAAAACCTTTAGGAAGCCAACCAGAGTGGCTTCATTTCATTAGTTGCATAGTTTTTATTTCACAAACTAGAAGTTAGTAAGACTTAAAAACCTATCTGAAGGATATATGATTCATCAGTGTTCTATAGGGAGCCATTTTATTCTGGGCTCCAAAGGTACCCTTAGGTACTGGTAGTCACTTTAGGGCACACAGAGACTCAGCATTAAATTTCCCCTTTAGAAACTGAATTGTTTAAAAAAAAAATCTATTAGAGCTATGATTGTAGAGCAGTTGAAGTGCTTGATTAGCATTGAAAAGACCCCAGCTTTGCACCCCAGCTCCATGTGAAGAAAGGTGTGGAGGCAGGAGGATCAGAAGTTCAAGGTCATCCCAGCTCCATAGAACTTGGAGCCAATGTGTTGTATGAGACCTCATGTCAAAGAAAAAAAAATTAAAAGCAGAAAAAAGTAGTGGTTTATATCCCACAACTGTAACAACGTCAGAAAAGGATAGAACATGTGTTTCTAAACCCTATGGTGCTTGTCATTATAGGTAGAGTGAGGCAAGCCTCATTACTTAGAAAAGTGTCCCTACGTGGGCCCTCTCCTCATCTCTGATATTAAAGACAGTTGACCAGTGGAGGTTTAGAATATGTTTCTTGATTTTAGCAAATTTAATTGGGTAGGTTCTAACTTAACCAGGTAGAAGACTAATTGTCCTCTCACACCAAAGCATGTGCTGAGACTAATGAAAAAGCCCCACAAAGTTTTCCAGTGCTACCTTGGTCCTCATGCAACAGCCCTGGATGTCACTCGTGGTTGTCTCAAGCTCAGATGCACTCACATACTCATTGCACTTCTGAGTCTCCCTAGATTTTTTCAGTTCTCTTTTTTTCTGCTTAGTAGTGTTTGAACGGGACACAGCTGCATTAAGACATAAGGCTTATTTGACTAATCAGAACTAATGAAGCAAGAGGGAAGGAATTGTGGGCAGTGGGTATTTCTTTAATATTTATGAGCAACCATGATCATGCAGGTGCTGCTAACAGGTTTATATGTTTTAAAAGCGACTAGCGGCTTTGTTTTTCCAATCGGAAAAGAGGAATTATACTTTCTAAGCAGCACCATAGAGAATTACATGTTGGTGCTGTTTTGTCATGTTATTTCTTTTGTGTTTTCTTAATTATGAAGTGTTAAATTATGAATGTCATTTAAAATGGGGAGGACACATGAGACAAGGATTTTCAAAGCATTTGAGGGATATTATATTGTACTGAAGCATACAATATAATCCTATCTGACATTTATTTGTCTTGTTTTTGCTTTATTTTTGTACTTCTCTGTTTCCTGATTCTGTCTTGTGTCTTCTGCAAAAACCTGCCCTAGACCTGTGTTGCGTGGTGGGTCAGCTGCCGCCACTTCTAATCCTCATCATGACAACGTCAGGTAACTTGAGACTTTGTGATTACCAAAGGACACACATATTTCATGGAGCTTGTATTGTGCAGGACATCATAATGCATGCAATAGCCATGATTGTATACATGTATACAGCTTAGGCCTCTGCAGCTTTCTCTTAGGAGAAATTCTATGTCTTGCTAAGAATGGGGATGATAATTAGTTCTTACATTTGTCCACCAGAGTATGAGAACATTGTAAAATAATTAAAATTATGATTAGGTATTGTGGCACATGCCTTTAATCCCAGCACTCAAGAGGCAGAGGTGGGTGGATTTCTGTGATTTTGAGGCCAGCCTGATCTATATAGTGAGTTCCAGGCCAGCCAGAGCTACATAGTGAGGCCCTGTCTCAACATCCCTCCCAAAAAGATTATGGCATAGTGTGATAAGAATATCCTGTATACTTTATAGTAGTATTTTAGTAGCTTTATAAGGAAACATGCTAAAACAGAGAAATTATATAATCTTAAATCTTGTCTTATGTATATAACTTTTTATCATCTGTTGATTTGAGCCTTTGTCTCTTGTATTTACCCTTCTCATATTATCAGATATGCTTAGGCCAAGTCATGAAGGGACAAGGAGTGGCAGGTATATGTGTGCTTTCAGGGGCCAACATCTTCAAGTAGTTCCTCTGTCTTCTGCAAGAACACAGAAAACAGATGCTGTCACTAATCATATGCTATCACTCTAATTTTCCAAGCCAGCTTTAAGTAGAATTGTGCTGTCACAGTGTGTTTCTCTTCTTCAGAAGAGACTGGCATGTTCCTAAGCAAGAGAACAGGGAACCATCCATTTGCTGTTAATCTCGTCCATGTTGCCTTGATGGTCCCTGACCACTGTGTTTAACTCATTTCTTCTGCATCTTAATTTAGGCCACACTAGTTTCCCTGATAGTTTTCTAGGTGTTTTTAATCCCTTTAACTTTCTGTGAAGGTGTTTTCAGTGAGTGGTATGGCAGCATTGTTAGAGTTTTTAGTTCTGAGAGATACAGTTTTAGTTTAAAATTATTTCATACTTTTTTTGTTTTAAATTGAAGATGACATGTGCTTTTTTACAAATGAAAAATTATCTTTATAAAACTGGTTGATTCAGGTTAAAATGATAATTTTTTCATGTATACTTCGTTTCTTTGTAAAGGTTAGTTAGTTCCCTTTGTGTGGTGTGTGTGTTGATGTGTATGAGCATGTCTGTTCCTTTACCTTGTGTATGGCAGGGGGTGGGAGGTACCTGTGGGTCAAGTGCATATGTATACAGAGGCCAGAGGTCAGCCTTGAGTGATGGATCCACCTTGGGTCTTGAGACAGGGTCTCTTACTTTGCTTGCCAAGTTGGCTTGCCAGCAAACCACAGGAATCCTCCTGTCTCTGCCTCCCCAGCACTGGAATTACAAGGATGTTCCACTGTGCCCAGCTTTCTTATTTTTAACATGGGTTTGGGTCCTCGCCTTTGGACGGTAAGCATTACTGGCTAAGTGTCACCCAGCCTTGCATTCACCTTTGATACTGGTGCTGGTATTCTTTGATAGCCCCCTCCAGTTATTCATCTCATGTGTGATTGTGGGGAAATAGAAAAGTTTTATTATTTTGAGCATAATATGTAGAAAAGAAAAATCTTTGACTCATGTTTTTCCCCACTAATATTTAATAATTTGTGGGGGCAGGTTGTGTTATTGAGGTTCTAAGGACAAACCTGGGGACTTGCACATGTAAGCAAGTGTTCTACTGCTGAGCTACACTCCTAATCCTCATGATTCTGCTTTAGTATTTATGAGTAGTTTGCTCAGCTTATACACTCACAATTCCATTGTCTACTTAGGAACTGATGAAGTTTCTCCTAACTGATGAAGTTTATTCTAAGTATTTTAAGACATGTTGTTTCTAAGAGGGAAAGCATAGCTAATGTAAACCATCTTACTTGGCCATAAGAGAATGTACAAGTCGGAGATTGCTGTAGATTATCTAAAACGGTACATGCCATTGATTATTTAAGGGGTTTTTAACATTTGAAGGAGTAGAACTTTGTGTATAGACACACTAGCATGCCTGAATGAAATATATAATTCTACTTCATATCCCTTTATGTAAGGTTATGTAGGGGAGTTGCTGGGAATATTAAAGTAGATGATCCATGTGCCAACTCTGTGTAGCTTACATAGGAATAACTTAATTTTAGTTATAGTCTACTCTTGTAAAAAGGCTACCATGTCATTTCACTAAAATAACCATATAGAGCATAAACTAGATACAAGTGTAAATAAATTGTACTGTGTATAAAATATATCTCAGTAAAAGTGTTCATTAAAATGAATTTTAAAATGTAGAAACCTGGTGCTGGGGAGATGGCTTAGCAAGTTAAGAGTGCTTGCTGCTCTTGCAGAGTTCTCGGAGTTCGGTTCCCAGCACTTGTCTGGACAGTTCATAATCACCATCAGTAACTCCAGCTCCAGGAAATCCAGTGCTGTCCCCTGGCTTCCTCATGTACCCATCTGGAATATACTCAGATACATACACACACACACACACACACACACACACACACACAGAGAGAGAGAGAGAGAGAGAGAGAGAGAGACACCATCTGGAATATACTCAGATACATACACACACACACACACACACACACACACGCACGCACGCACGCACGCACGCACGCACGCACGCACGCACGCACGCACATATCAAAGTTTCATGTTTTCATAAAAATGTAGAAACCCAGACAAATGGAGGAAATGACATTTCTACCTACTTAATCTTTTTTTTTTTTTATTTTAAAATGCCAGGCTTGGTGATCCATGTTTGTAACCCCAACACTTGGGAGGATGAGGCAGGAGGATCAAAAGTAGATGGCCATTTAGCAAGTTTGAGACCATCTCTAAAATGCCACTGTATTCCCAAGTCAGTGCCCTTTTAGATATGAATACTTTTAACAAAAGTACTATTTAATGTTCTTTCTCTGCATTGTGTTGGTGATTTTTCAGCATTATTATTTTATATGCGGTCTCTAATAAGCCAGTTCTGTAGCTAAGTGTAGTTACAAGAGATTTAGAAGATTGTAAACTTATTTTTGTGGGAGAATACGGTAAAGAGTAAGTGGAAATCAGAAGTGGAAAAATAGCAAAAGAAAGGCAGGCAAAAGTGGAAAAGTAATATATGATGAGTCTTTGTCTATAGTTGACTTTGTATTCCCTGACATTGAGTCTTTGTCTACAGATTGATGTGTTGACATGGCTCATATATAACTCTTGTGTGTCTTTGGCCATTCTCAGGCCTTTTCAAACAGGGATCTTTCCTTTAACATTGCTGCATTTTCTGTCTTGAAAAAAAGTATCTAGGAAGAGTTTTTTCTCATCTTTCCCAGCATCGTAGGTACTCAGCTTAAGCTACTTTTCCTTATTTGTGTCAATTCAAATGGGAAATGCTTATTTATATTATTAAGAATGAGTTTTTTGAATACTTCTTTGAGTAGTATACAACACAACACATGACTTGACTATTACTCTTAGTTTTTAACTGTGTTTCAATATCTTATCTGCTAGGTATGGCATTTCAAACATAGATGCAGCCATTGAAGGAGCATCAGATGACATGACTGTGGTGGATGCAGCTTCGCTAAGACGTCAGGTAATTACCGCCCCAAATAAGAGACCACCTAGACCTATCTCTGTGAAATACTTTAGAGTAATATTTGCATAATTTTAGTATTTTCTCTGCTATAGATCCCATGAATTCAGGTTATCTAATAAGCCATAATTGATTTTCTCAGATTTATCAAAGAATTGTTAAACCATTATTCAAGTGCTTTTGACCAACGTAAAACATTACTACCAAAATGATTGATATAATCTGGAAAGCATCAAAGAATTTTGATGTACTAATAAACCAATCTAGTCCTGAATTGTGTGTTTTGCTTTTGCTATATGGACAGTCACTTTGGGGACCTTTGTTACTGTGCACAATTTCTTCATTTTAGAAACCACTACTTTGAGCTTTCCCACTGCCATAAGCCCCATCTTGTAACTGTAGTTCTCATGTGCTTATTTTTAATATGCATTTCTGCTGTCTTTATACAGAGGCATTCCCATTCAGGAAAGGCATATTTGATATTTTGATTATGTGTGCCAAATGCATACCAGAGGACCCACCATAATAGGTCTGTCTGGGTATTAGAGCACACTGAGAACACAGTTGTTCAAGTCTAAAACTAAACAACTGAGGCTCATGGAGGAGGCAGTGAGGAGCAGGTATCCTGAGCTCCTGCTGGAATAGACACCCCCCTGTTGCCACCAGAAGAGCATAGTGCAATAGTGTCCTTACACATGCCCTAATTCACATTTACAGAATGGCAATGGAGAGGCATATTTAATCAGTTTAATCTCTTGTGGGTGGTATTTTGTTTTCTGTTTATAGTTGCACTTATCTTATCCAAATGGAACTTTCTATGTTATAATTTCTTTGACAAGTCAATGTACGATTTTTTAAAAAATCTGATTGCAAAAAGAAAAATCTGATTGCTGTATGCATTAGTACTATTTTGTATTTGTCTTTCACTTAGATTATCAAATTAAATAGACGTCTGCAACTTCTAGAAGAGGAGAATAAAGAACGTGCTAAAAGAGAAATGGTCATGTATTCAATTACTGTAGCATTCTGGCTGCTTAATAGTTGGCTGTGGTTTCGACGCTAGAGGTAACCTCAGCATTCACATATATTGTCTCAACACCTGGAAATATAAAGGATTTGCAAACTCCATTGTTTCTGTCTTTGCATTGTATGCCGTTTTATAGTCCAAGCCCTGAAAATGTATTTCTTCCAGAAAACAGGGGCCTGTTCTGTTACTGATCTGCATTCAGTCAGGTCTGCAGTGGCACCTACATTCTCACCTTTTGCATGTTTTGTAAATAGGCTCTAGGCTTGTTTGTTTGTTTTTAAAGAATTGGGCCTCATCAGTCTGTACAGCTAATTCTCTAAAAAGAAATGACAGTCGTAAAGAATGAGTTTAGAAAACTATCTGTAAAAGAAAACAGTGTTTCTCAGATGATTAACCCATTTCTTTGACAGATGCTTTTTGTATCTGCATCACAATATTAATGCTTTTGAAGTCATAGTCTGGTGCATCACTTAAGAAAAACCAAGCCACCTAACTCTTCTTGATACCTGTACAGAGGACGTGTAAAAACTCCTAATGATTCAGCAGGTTATCTGTGTGCAATATGTTGTTCTGATTTTCTTCTTAAGTTTTCTATAAAATATGTTTTTACCAAGTCCATGTGTGAATGATTTAAAAAAACTAAAAAAAAAAAATGAGGTATAAATGTAGTGTACTTAATAAACTGTCAACCAAAACAATGTCTATGGAAAGATTTATTTCATCAAATGGTGCTGTGGGCTGAATATCTTATTAGAGTCTTCCTGTCCAAGGAGCAAGTAGGGCATTAGTGACCTTCAAGTCACAAGAGCCTCCTGGGATTCTCTGATCTTTACCCCTCCCTGTGCTGGGCTTGTTGGCACTGTAAGTGGCTTGCTAATTTATTGTATCTATGAAAGAGATTCAGGTTTTTAAGACAAGACAAAAAACCTTTATAAAATTGTGTCCTTCTCATTGTAATATTTGCTTGTTAATACACTAAATCTCAGAAAAAATAGATACGAGTAAAACCAAGGTTTAGGAGTCTTTAATATTCAAAAGTATATTTCTTCTCATGAGCAGGAGGGACTCAGCAAGGTGCAATATTCTTTATACATCATCAGTAATCTTTGCACCAAGAGGTTGAAGGGAAGTCCTAAGATTTAGGTATATTTCACATTGATGTTCTTGCTTCCCCAGTAATCCAGGAGGAAGGTTCCTTCTTGTACTTAGATTAGTGTGACTTTGATAATTAAATGTATAACTTCTTTTGCTGAGCAGGCATGAAAAAGAGTTCACCAAAAGCAACTCCTGGGAGATTGCTACAAAAGCTGTTATTTTCCCTGATGACTGTTACAAAGAACTGGAACATTCTTAAATAGGATGTCCTACAATATTTAGGAAAAAGTTAATTACCCTGGGGGTGGGAGGCATGGGAAGGGGTATTAAGAGGAGCAAATTCAATCCTAGTCAGGATAGTCAGAAAATATTGTGTAGATACTTGAGCAGAGGCATAAGGACATATGGACTTGAGCAGAAGACTAAGATTCCAGGGACTGGGGGAGGGGTGCGGGGGCAGAAGGATATAGTTAGGGCTAATGAGCATCAAAAAGCTAAGAAGAGCAGAAATGATTACACCACCTTCAGAATTCCAACACTTGTCTTTCTGCTTCTGGAAATATTTTAGAAGCTTTTTCTGTATTTGAGGAATTGACAGGTGGAGGGCAGTGGTGTGGGAGAGAAGAAAGCATATTAAATAATGAGGACACTGGGTTGGCAAGATGACATAACAGGTAAAGATGCTGTCTTTGGACCCTGGGACTTGAGTGTGAAGCCGAGAACTGACTCCTGGAAGCTGTCTTCTGACTTCCACAGCATGGTGGTGGCACACACACATCCACACCCATCAGAAGCACACAAGTAAGTGTGTTAATGTCAAAAAAAAAAAAGTTTTAAACAAAGAGGGTTATAAAAAGTTGTACTGAGGAAGAAGAACTTGAGATACATGATAAAAACGAGTTTTAGATTGAAAAACCTTACAAATACGTTCTAAAATGAGATTGATTGAACTCAGAGATAGGAATGCAAGTTAAGAAACATTGGTTTTTACAAATGACTGCTTTTAGTGTTGAGTGGGAAAGGGTACCTGTTCATTAGTATGCTGACAAGCATTTGCTAGTTTGAATACCAAATCAAGGATCAAATGCCCTCAAAAGATGCTAAGTTCAGGTGGCCTGTGGACTTTAGGTATTCAGTTTGTAGCACCAGTTCCCATAAGACCTAAAGAGCAAAGAAGTAGCCTGCCAGTCAGAGGTCTTTTTTTTAGATTTAAGTCTCTTTTTCTGACTGAGGAGTTACATGGACTCATCACTCCTTTCCAGGGTGATGAGAAAAGTCTTAAGACCCATCTCAGATCCTAATTTGTTCAATCAAGTACAGGGATCTGTTTTCATTTCATGTCTATTAGCAGTCTGATAATAATTAGTAAGCACTGTCTTCACTAATGTCTGGGAGCTGAAAATATTCATTCAGCAGAATACTTACCTTGGCACTACCTTGTATCAGGTCCTCTGTGCTATGCACGATCACACCAGAAGTTAGTAAAATATGAAGCTTGTGGTTTGGTGTGGGACAGTACGATGTAGCAGTGTAAGGATTACACATGAAAATGTTAGCACCAGGACTGACTGGAGAGATGGCTCAGTGGTCATGAGCCCTGGCTGCCCTGACTGAACAAACACCCAGGTTCAATTCCCAGCTCCTATGTGGTGGCTCACAGCCATCTGTAATCCCAGTCTGGGGACCTGACTGCCTCCTCTGGCAGTGCACACACCTAATATACAACAGACTTACACCCAGGCAAATACCCATACTCAAAAAGAATTGTGCTAAATTCTACGGAGAAGCATTGTCACAATGAGTGTCCTCAGCAAGAACCACTTGGGATGCCTGGGGGGGGGGTTGTCTTGATTGTGACTCTGTTAATTAGTATGGGGAGGCTTTTCTTAATTGTTGACTGGACAGACCCCACACACACACACACACACACACACACACACACAAACACACACATACACACACCCCCAGCATGGTCTCCTGGATTATGTAAAGTGGGGGAAAGAGCTGAACACAAGTAAGCGTTCATCCTCCTGCTCCCTGACCAGATGCAATGTGACCAGACACATCATAGGCTCCTGCCTCACCTGAACTTCTGCAGTGGTGGGCTGCCTTAAACCCTTTCTCCTTACGCTGCTTTGTCAGGGTATTTTAATGCAGCAACCGGGAAAAGAAACTAAGAGGAACCTGCTCATCCTTGTGTGGTTTGACAAATAACCATGATGTACTGAAGAGTGAAAAAGACTGAGCCAGAGATAAGACACTGGGGACGGGGAGGGGGAAATAGGAGATAAGGACCGGGATGAAAGGTCTTACTAAGAAGCACAAGTGGGAAAAGATGTTGAAAGGATGGATGGGAAGGAGTGGTTCCTGATCTTTTAAATTCTATGGTAGAAAGACAGACCTTTTTCAGGAGAACTTCCTGGTAAGAATGTCCTGTGACCCAGCACTCGGGAGGCAGAGGCAGGTGGATCTCTGTGAGTTCGAGGCCAGCCTGGTCTCCAGAGTGCCAGGATAGGCTCCAAAACTACACAGAGAAACCCTAACTCAAAAAACAAAACAAAACAAAACAAAAAAAAGAGTATGTCCTGTGATAGTGGACAAAGGAGATTAAGTATCCTGTGATCATGTACACAGAAACTGTAAGAATGTCCTATGATCGTGTACACTTGAGACTAAGAATATCCTGAAGCTAAGCCTGAAGTGTTACTAGGTGTGTGTGTGTGGGGGGGTGGTTTAGTTAGAAGGTCTTCATGCAGTTTGTGCTAGAAAAAGGCTTCCAGATTCTGAATGTGCTCATTTATTTGAATGGTTATAATTGGTATTTCAGTTACCATCAAATTTTTTTTAAGATTTATTTTTATTTTATGAGTATTTTGCCTGCCATGTAAACAAGTGCATGTGAGCCTGGTGCCCACTGAGGCCAGAATAGGGCACTGGATCCCCTGGAATTTGGATTAGAGACCGTTGTAAGCCACCATGTACATACTGGGAACTGAACCCAAGTCCTCTGCAAGAGGAGCAAGTACTCTTAAATGCTGAGCCATCTATCTAGCTCTCTTCAAAAATGACTTTCTAAGATTGATGGGTTGATTTGTATTTGTGTATGCACAGTTGCCCTGAAGTCTAGAGGAGGGCACTGGATCCCTGGGAGCTGGAATTTCAGGCTGCTGTGGGATGCCAGTGTGGATGATGGGAACCAAACTTCAGTTCTCTGTAGGAACACAAAGTGCTTACTTACCCAATGAGCTATCTTTCCAAACCACTTTCAAAATCTTAAGGCTGTAGTGGCATTTTGTTTCTGCCAATAGTTTCAGAGTCTTAGGGCTTCGGTATGTGGACATGATCCCTTATAAGGCAGGGGTGTCACTCGAGCTGTCTTGGGTGACAGGCTGAGGCCTGACCATCACCTACATCACAGCATCCTGTGCCTCCAAGGGCAGAAGACCCCTGCTGAGCTTTATTTTCAGTGTGTGAGTATTCCCTAAATAAATATTTGCTGTTCTTTTATTTGGGCAATCGTGGACTTCCTTAATCCACCCTTCATAAACCCAGCCAAGTGGAGATAAAAATTGAAATCAATTTCAGAAAATTGTAGTTTTTTAGTTTTCTCTTTCATAACATTTTAATACAATAAATACATTTTGTTATTTTTTAAAGATCAGCATAAATAGAAACCAGCTTTTAAAAGACTGATTTTTTTCAAGGTATTACTATAAACCATGAAAAGATACAAACATAGAATAGAACAAATTGCCATGTGCCTGTCAGCTAAATACAACATTTTTCTGTTAACTTCAGGTTTGGGGTAAAGTATTTTAAAAATATGGCCTTCCTCCCTAAACATATAAATATATATTTATTTCTTAAGACTAAGGCACCTACTTCTATAACCATCAAAGTATTATCAAGTCTAACAAAAGTTTTTTTTCAACATACACAGTAAAAACAAACAAAAAGTTTCACTAACTTGTCCCCAGTATCACCCACTGATGAGCCTTTCTAGAGGGAGGTGTGTTACCTGCACAATGCACTTTATATATGAAAGGTTGGTTTGTTTTATTGATTTTGATTTTGTTTTTCAACACAGGGTTTCTTTATGTAGCCCTGGCTGTCCTGGAGCTTGCTCTGTACACCAGGCTAGCCTTGAACTCAGCGATCCACCTGCCTGTGCCTCTGAGTGCTGGAATTAAAGGCGTAAGCAAACATGGTCCAGCTTGATAGGTTGATTTGTTTTTTTGTTTTTTTTTTAAGTTGCTTCAGTGATGATTTCAAAAACAACTTTTTGCACTAAAATGACTCGGCGTTCCAGATCATGCTTCATTATTGAACTTATAAAAGCATATATTTTAAGTGCAATTTTCAAATTATTCAAAGTACTGATATTCTAGTTTATTATCCTTTAAGCTACACAATTTGACTCCTTCTCCTAGACACACCACACAAACAACCAAGGAAACCAATGAGTATCTGACTGATCCCAAACAGGAGCTCAAGGATTCCAACCAGCAGGAGACTGAGAAATACTGAGAAGTGGAAAATCCTGTGTCTATCTTCTTCAGAGTCAGAGTCGGGTACTTTCCAGTTACTGAGCATGTCATTGATGGTGGAGTTTTTTACATCAGTAGGAGAAATACAACTGTCTTCGAAGAACCACTGCAGACTGAAGGACTCAGGACGAAAATTACTGGGAAGGGAGGAGAGGGAAGGGTTAAATGTGCCTATTAACAAAATAAAAGCTCAAGTATAATTAAGACTGTATACAGAAGCCATAGCTAAGATCTGGTTTTCTGAGCACATAAACATAGCCCTAATCTTAAAACCCTTACTTAATCACACATTGTATCATTCTCCATCGAACTCCTGATCTTAAGGTGAGCCACATAAGATGACAGATACTCTCCCATATCGGGATGAAAATAAATACTAAGTGTCAGGTGTTGGAATCTGTCTGTGCATCTTTCTACTTACCGAAGGTAGGAAAGCAAACCAATACACACACACAACCCAGTTTTTCACCTAGATCTGCAGTGAGGCCAGATGGATGGTTTTTATTCACATTTTAAATACATCTGATTAAAGTGATATATGCCTCTCCTAACATAAAGCAAGAAGCTTTTAGTCCTAACACATCTGTCTCAAGATGATTTTTATCAGAATGTTTATCAAGAAAATGGAGTACTCTTAGGAAGTGCCTATTTCTAATTCCCAACAACTGACTTGGGACATGAGAAAAATAACAGTATTTGCAACACATGGCCTATGAGACTGTGGATTTGCCTGAGACTACAGGATTGCCCTGTTGTGCTGGCGAGACTGAGGGGCTGTCTGAGTGCTGCTGTCCCCAAAGCTTGGCCTGTGGCCCACTGTCTCAGTGAACTGTTGTCATTCCTTGAGGATTGAATGTGTACAGTAGCTATGGTTGAAAGTTCAAATTGTCCTTACTAGTAAAGGAATTTCTTTGCATTTTGTTTATTTCAATAGCTGACAGACAAATTTTGAGAGACTTTTTAAAGTAGGTAATGGGTAAAAACTTTTGTTTTATAAAACTATAAAAGTTAAATCTAGTGGATTTCCCAAATTAAGTGGCTAATTAAAAGTTGCTAATGAATTAGATTGGTCTTCCTGGATTTGCAAATTATGCCTAAATTCACCCATAGAATTGTCTCAATGGGCCATGTATATGTAACTTCCAATGTAATATGTTGCTACCTGATGTAAATGTTTTATTTCTGTCTATATGTACATAGTATGACTACATATACCTACTAGCCGCTGTTTCTTGGGTTTTCTGTTCTGTTTTGTTTTGTTTTGTTTTAAGTTTCAAAAGTAAAGGGCTGGGGTGGTGCTTCCACGAATGAAACACTTGCTGTGAAAACCGGAGGACCAGAGTTTGGGTCCCCAGCACCCATATCAAAACCAGGGAGATAGGGTGGCTGGCCACCTGTAATCCCAGCCCTAGCATAGGCAGAAACAAGGGAGTCCCTGAAGCAAGCTGGCTAGCTGAGTCATCAGGCTCCAGGTTTAGTGAGAGACTCTGCGTTGGTAAATAAAGTGGAGAAAAAGTGAGGCCACATATCATCAAGCTCTGGCATCTTTATGCATTGGCGCACATGTGTACATCTGTCGAAACACCTGCCAATGAAACATTGCAAATGCATGAGCACCATACACAAAATAATGAAGCCATCTATGGTTTACAAATTTAGTGATGAGTTAGGGACTGGTGGGATGGCTCAGCTGTTTAGAGTACATACTGTCTGTCCATCCAGAGGACCCAAGTTTAGTTCTCAACACCTACCAGGGGCAGTTTGTAACTGCCAAGTGTCCATGACTCTGATTCTACAGGGATCCATCACCTGTGACCTCCGTAGATACTGCATTTACAGTACAAACACACACAACAACAACAGCAACAACATCAACAACAACAACAACAACAACAATAATAATAATGGCCTGGATAGATGACCCAACAATTAAGAGCTCTTGTCAGCCTGGCATTGGTGGCACACATTTTTAACCCCAGCACTCAGGAGGCAGAGGCAGGCACATCTCTGTGAGTTCGAGACCAGCCTGTTCTA